TTTGGTTTCTATTTTTATATCTTCGTCGTTGGTTTTCGTTTCTTTTTTAAAAAAAAAACGAACGGAGGGAAAAAAACGGATTAAAAAAACCTCTCTGATTTACACTTTAAAAAGCACTAAACGCCTGATTGTTCAAAGCGCCTGCCCATGCAGCATGGATGCCTTCCAAGTGCTTTCAGTTGATGCAAGTAGCTTCTATAATCTAAGCATCCCCCCCCCCCGATCCCCCGTCTCTGCCACCCCGTCATAACATACTTACAAAGAGGAAAACAAAACAAAAAAAAACTTTAAAAAATGTTAATGCAACTCACTCTTTGCTCCCCAGCGCCCCCTGCTGTTCCTCTACCCCTGCCCCCGCCCCCCCAATAATGCCAGTATTTGTTCTGTGTTATAAGTGCCAAGAATTTTTTGTGACTCCCTCATTCCTGTGACCTGAGAGTATCGACAATTGCACATTAACTACTGTAAAGATTTAAAAAAGAGGAATTCAGAAATGTTAATAAAAAAAAAAAAAGGTTTGTAACAAATTTGCACACCCGGCTGGTTATTTTCGATCCTGATTTCACATGCACACCCCAGGCATTGGCCAACAGCTGGAGGGTGGTGTTTAAGACACACGAGATAGCTGGGTTCGGTTCCTTGGCCAATTCTGTGCCTCAGTTTCCCCATCTAAAATAGGGGATCGTTCTACTCCCTTTGCCTATTTAGGTTGTAAGACCATGGCGCTAACATGGGCTACAGATTTGAAGGTCAGAAGGACGCTCTGTGATCATGAGTCCAGAGGACTTCCCTGAATTAATTCCTGTTTGAACTACGAGACGATCTTGTAGGGAAACATCTGATCTTGATTTACAAATTGTCAGTGGTGGAGACTCGACCAGGCCCCTGGGTAAGTTGCTCCAGTGGTTAAATACCCTCCCGGTTAAAAATGTCACACCTGATTTCCAGTCTGCACTGGGCTAGCTTCAACTTCCGGCCTTTGGCTCGTGCTGACCCTTGGGCTGCTAGATTGATCAGTCATCTGTTAGCCAAGAGTGGTTCCCCAGGTAAGTCGAGTCACGTGTCCTGGGCTGGCTGGCCCCTGTAAGGGGAGGCAGGGCCTGATGCGTCCCTGAAGAGCCGCTCCCAAGGGAGGGACCCGGTCTGGGCAGGTCATTGACGAGCAAGCACTTAGCCCTGCTAAAAGACCAGCTGGTGGCGGGGTATGGCTTTATGCGGAGGCGCCCGTCCACCTTGCCAAGCTGGCAGGGAAACGGGCTGCGCAGAAAGGGAGTTTCTTTTGCCCCATCCCTGCACCGGGAGCAGGGTTCTCCTGCCTGGGGGCCGCTCGTCGGCAGTAGCCCAAGGGCTGGGCGTGAGAGGCTCAGGGGGGTTCTTTGTACTCCTCAGAAGGAGTTAAGCAATGAGCCCCCTCGCCCAGGCGGCATCTTGTCCTCAGTTCCTGGGTCTGAGTGAAGCCGAAGTCCAGAGGCAGCGCAGCCAAGCCACGTAATGCCACCAGGGGTCGCGCATGAGGCTCTCACATCACCCCTAACTTTCTGGGTAAGTGCTGGAGCGCCCGGCAGGCTTTCCAAAGCTTGAGTCCTGCCCATGGCACATGTCTGCCCCCCTGTCCCGGAGTCCCCGGGCGATGCTCTGGAACTGCTCCCCACAAAGCCAGTCAGGACTCTGGGGAGCCTCCTCTCCCTTGGAGCAGACTGTCTCCAGGGCAAGACGCTCACACGGCTTCACCTCCTGGGTCTGACCTTGGAGCATTCAGCATCTGCCCCTCTGTGCGGTTCCCACAGCGAGTCCGCCCAGGCGGGGTCCTGGGGAAGCCAGAGGGTCCTGCACCCCCACTTCACAGTCAGACGTGACTCTCGGCCAGCCAGTAAAACAGAGGTTTATTAGATAACCGGAACATGGGCTAAAACAGAGCTTGTAGGTCCAGAGAACGGGACCCCTCAGCCGGGTCCATTCTGGGGCCCAGTGAGCCAGACACCCCCGTCTGCCCTCACTCCCTGTCCCCGCCAGCACCAAACTGAACCCCCCTCCAGCCCTATCTCCTCTGCGTTGTTCCTTTCCCGGGCCAGGAGGTCACCTGATCTCTTTGTTCTCCCACACCTTTAGCATCCCCTTGCAGGGGGGAAGGCGACAAAGGGTCGGCCAGAAACTGAGACACCCACACAGTATTCAGAGGAAACATTAAGAACAGTCCCACTTCGTCACACCCCCCTCACCCGTCAAGCCCCAGACTCCTGGTTTTGCAGCCACAGAATTCCAGTGGGGGGCGCACCTGTGCCCCCCTGGATGCCAGCCCTCTGTCCCCACCCACGGGCTAGCTTGGCTAGTTAGCACATCAGGGCAGCCAGCTGCCTCCCCTGTGTTTGTGCAGAGCCGGCCGCGCTGGGTCCTGGGGCACTGACAACCGTGACAGTGTGGCACGGCAGGGGTCGAGCTGGTGCACAGCCCACGCCAAGCCCCTGGCTGTAACGGAGTGACTCCAGATTGACAGCAGGCTGGGAGAGCCAAGCGACCCTCTGTCCACATCTGCACAGCGTCAGGTGTGACATGGGCCCTGATCTCAACTGGGGGGTCTGGGCAGCACCTAGTGAGCTGGGGGCCGTGATCTCAGCTAGGGGGGTGTGTGGCAGCACCTGGTGGGATGAGGGCCCTGGTCTCAGCTGGGGGGGGGCAGCAACTGGTGGGACGAGGGGGGTGGTCTGGGCTGGGGGGGGGGGGCTGATCTCAGCTCAGGGGAGGAGGGGGCAGCACCTGGTGGGACAAGACCCACCCACTCAGCTGGAACCTCTAGCAGATTACAGATCATTTCAGGGAGACTCATCAACGCTGGCTTAGGCCCTGAATTTTCCCCAACACTCACCCCCTTCCCTCGTTACCCAATTTCCATTGAAATTTTAAAATGCTGCAAAACGTGGTGTGACACAGAGAGCGGTGACGAGATAATATAAAACCCCCCCGTTATTGTCACCGATTTCTTTAGCTTCTCAGATACCCCAGGAAAAGCAGCACATGGCTTTGGGGCAGGGGTGGGGGCTGATTTCCCAGCCCCCCTCCCCCTTCCCAGATGGGAGCAGGTGCCAGCCAACTGTAATAGTCCTCTCTCGGGGGCTGGTTGGGGAGCGGGGTCTAGTGGTCACGGCCACCACCTCTGACTGCCAAGGGGGTTGTGGGGTGGGGAGCCTGGGCCCACCCACTCCTCTCGCCCCCCCCTCCCCCTGCAAAGTCAGCTTAGTCCAAGGCTTTCCCCTGGTGGGGAAAACCAAACCCCAATACGTAAGGGGGGGGTTACCAAGGGCCACGGGATCCTTCCCTCTCTGGTTGTGTCTGGGGTGGGTCCAGCCTTCCCGCAGGCAGGGCCCCTTCGGGCAGCTGTGTCAGAGCCTTTAGGCTTCTCGCTGCTCTGCTCCCCTCCCGCTCTGCCACCCAAAGCAGCTAATTCCCTGCCTTTTAATTCCTCCAGCAGATGGAGCAGCTGGCTGAGCCCAAAATAATCCCTTAATCCCATGTTGCCCAGTGTGGGGTTCATACACCCCGGCAGAGGCAGAGGCAGGGATCCTTGCAGGGGTGTCCAGGCACCACCCCCTGCCCCTCTGAAGCAGCGCAGTGCCCGTCTACACGGCCGCCTCTGGCTAGTCACGCACGAGCTAGAAACTTTCGGGAGAGGCCCATTGCAGCTCCCTTTGCACCCTGCAGGGGGAGACAGAGCGGAGGGAGCCCCCTGCTGGGGCTCTCCCATGTGCCCGTTCATTGCTGCAGGACCCGGGCCCGTCCCCCCAGGCGTAGCACCATGAGAAGTTCACCCCCTGCCCCCAGCTGCCAAGAGTCACGTAAACTCATCCAGCCTTTATAACGGGGTGGGTGGGGGGCAGGCCCCCAGGCCTCGTTAGCAGCTGTCTCCATCCATTCAGCCGCTCCAACGCCAACACCGTTCGCATTTCTGCTTATATCAGCTGGGCCCCGTTCCCGCCTGCGGAGAAGAGCGTGGCTGGGGGCGGGGACATGTGCCCCCGGAGAGACCCAGAACCCTGCAGGTTACCACCATTCCAAGCGCTGGGCCCGCGTCCAGATACGCCTTGTGCCTGGGATCTGCCCCCACATATCCTCTCCTTATGCCAGAGGCACTGCCTCTTCGGGACAAAACCCAGCCCCCGAGGGGAGCTGCCGGCTCTGCCGGCGGGATTGCTGCGTTCTCAGGGCCCGGCCCCTTTCTAGGCAGCGCTTGGGAAAGCAGACAGGAGAGGGGCCAGATTCTCAGCTGGTGTAACGGCCAAGGAGCCACTTGGATTAACGCCCGCTGCAGAGCCACGCCACTGACGTTCGTGCACAATGGGGGCTGTCACAGTCTCAGCAGGTGTAAGTCAGTGCAGTCTCATTGACCCCAATGGGACAACACCGCTTCACACCAGCTGGGGATCTGGCCCCACTGACCCCAGTGGTAGGGGGGCCAGATGTCCCGATTTTTGGGTCTTTCTCTTATATAGGCTCCTATTACCCCCCCCACACCCCCATCCCGATTTTTCACATTTGCTGTCTCGTCACCCTACCCAGTGGAGTGATGGATGAGTCCCATGTGCTGGGGATCTGGCCCCCACTGACCCCACGCTGAGCTGGTCTTAAAAGTCACTTTTCAGAGCACGGCGAAGATCCCCGGTGACTGAGCATTAAAAGCTCCCCAGGCCGGCCCCCATCTCAGCCCACGGAGCCACTGACAAAAACCAGGCGCCTTTAAAGGGACAAAAAAATTGGGCTCAAGTCCTCAGTTTTGCTGCTTTATTGTGCATTTGTTTAAAGTTTTTTTTAAAAAAATATTAATTTGATTTTTTTTACATTAGAAATTCAGGTTCCGGCGAGGCCAGAGACTCTAGGCCCATGTCAAACGGGAGCTGTAGTTGGGAGGTCCTTTGTGCCTCTACTTCCTCCCGCAGGCCCTGCTCCCTGGCTGGACTACATCTCCCATAACACATTGTGCAGCCAGGAGCCACTCCCATTTTCCTCTGTGGGCCAAGTTCCCTGCCCAGACTACATCTCCCATGATGCACTGCACTCTCTCCCAGCTGCCATAGTGCATCATGGGAATTGTAGAAAGGAGTGTCTCGTGCCCCTATTTCCCCCATGGGCCCTGCTCCCTGGCCAGACAACATCTCCCAACATGCACTGGAGTCTCTCCTTGCGGCAGAGGCACCAGCAGGGTCCATCCCGGTTATGTTTGTACAGCACCAAGCACCGTGGGGCCTCACGACTCTACCATAATACAAATAATTAACAACAACAAACCGACCATCGGGTCTCTTCCTCCCCGCTAAGGCAGCAAAAATCCAGCAACACAACCCCCAATTTCCTTAACTGAAAGCCCTTTGCAGGAAAGCCCGCCTGACGAATTATTTTGGCTTTTCGTACAAAAAACGAGCGCCGGCCCTGCCAGGGAGGGGCGAGGAGCCAGCGCATGCCGGGCAAAGTGCAGCTGGGCTTTAAGGTGGGGGAGCCCTAAAAAACAGCTGTCACCATCCCCTGAACCCACAGAGCACCCCGTGCGCCAGCCCAGCGTGGGAGGGTATTAACAGCTGAGTCTGCATCCCATGCTGGTAAGAATTGGTCTGCCTGCAACAGGCGGCAGGAAGCTGGAATGATAAGACAGCGCCCCCTGGTGGCACAGGCTGTGCTGCCCTGTCCCGTCCTGGAACATGGGATGGGCAAGCTGCTTCTCCTTCCCCGTCCTGGCTTTGCAGGTACCAATGAACTGGCGTCCCCTCCCTCCCAAATCTGGGGAGAGATCAGAAGTGCCCCCCATTCCAGCATGTTACTACTGCCCCCTACAGGCTGAGGACACCCCCAGCCCTGTACCCGACTGCAAGGCCCCGATGTGGAAGCAAAGGCTGGAGGTGGGGGGGGGAGGGGGAGAGACCTGAATCAGATTCCCAGCAGGAATCTCCCCTGGTACCTGGAGGTGCCTTTTCTTTACCATAGGTGCCAGCCCCAAGGGTCAGAGAAAGGCACCGGGGTGGGCTGTGCTCCAGCAGGGCAGCTCCTGGGCTGCTTGCCAAACAATGATGGAGGCATGTGCATGGGGTGGGGCTGGTCAGGAGAATGGTGCCCCCCCCTCAGTCCTGGCCAGTCGATTACAGAGTGAAGAAGAGGATAAGCACCACGATGAGGAGAACAAGCAGAATGCCGATCACACACCACTGGCGCCGGTCTGGGGAGGAGGAAGCACAGGGGGAGATGCAGTGAGTGGGGGGAAGGGGGGGTAGCAGGGGCGATTCTGAGATGGGGGGTTGGCTTAAGCACTGACACTAGGGACCTCTAGGCTGCCTGGGGTGCATTAAAGAAACCTCCCTCCCACCTGCACACATACCCCAGGAGTAAAGATCAATACCCCCGTTTTACAGAAGGGAAACTGAGGCAGGGGAAGGGACTTGCCCCAAAAGTCACACAGGGCCATGAATAGAAACCAGGAGTCCCGACTCTCTGCTCTCCTTGACTCTAACCACTAGACTCCACTTCCCTCCCAAAGCTGGGGATAGAAGCCAGGAGTCCTGACTCCCGGCCCCTCCCCGATCTAACCACTGACCCCCACTCCCTTCCCAGAGACAGGAAGGGGACTCAGGTTCTGAAGTCTCCTAGGTGCTTTGAAAAATCTCCCCCTGCCCGGCGCCTTCCTCACCGCTGGTCATGTGGGAGACCTTGGCCATCTTCTTCAGCACGCCATCCATGCGGGACTGGGTGCTATCCATCTCCTGGGCAAATTCCTCCAGCATCCTGCCAAGCCAGGGTCAAGCTGTCAGCTCAGGGTGCAGCACCCACCCAGGGGGGCTGTGGTCAAGCCGGGAGAGACATGGAACCCTCCCCCCCCCACACACACACACTAACATGCCTGCCCGGATCTAGTCACTGCCGCTTTCAGCCCCCTGCCAAGGTGTCAGGAGGGGGCTTGTCCCATTCCCTCCCTCCACCACCCCCAGGTTGGTGGGGCTTCTCCTCCGGGCACCTGTCATCCCTCTAAGAACTGGGCTGAGACCCACCAAACTTACCTCACACGTGGGGCCAGATGGGACGGATTTTCAGATCTGGGACTGGCACCCCCTAGTGGGGAAAGGCCTCATGTCCCATTCCCCACCCCCATGAGCCAGCCAGTCCCCTGCCCTGGGGCTGGATCAGAGCTGGCGCCCCCTAGTGGGGAAAGGCCTCAAGTCCCATTCCCAGGCCTGTGAGCAGGTCTCCCCACACCCCACCCCACTCACAAGCTCTGCTCGTCCAGCTCGTCCCCGACCCGGCCCGACATGTGCTTCAAGACCCGGATGCTCCCCGACACCAGCTCCAGCTGCTCGTCCTGCTGGTCTATGATCAGCTGCCGGGGAAGGGAGGCAGGAAAAGCCAGTGGGTCGTTGCAGGGGGGTGCGACAGGGTCCCGTTACGGGGGAGGGGGGGCGATTGGATCGGAACCAGGATGGTGGTGAGAGAAGGGAACTAAGATGGTGGGAGGGAGGAATTGCTGCCGCCACCCCCTCAAAGTGTGCAACCGCCAGCCTGCAGGGTTAATCCCCAGGTTGTGGAGCTGTGGAACTCCCTGCTGCAGGGGGTCCAACACAGACGGCATAGGGGTGGCAGCTTGGGTAATTTTAGATCCAGCTCTCGGACAGGGTGGATGGGTGTCAGGCCACAGCCCCCGATCCCCGCCACCCTGAGCTGATCACTACAGGGGTCTGGAAGGAAGAAATCGTACTCTGGAGCAGCCAGTGCCGGCCATTGCTGGCGACGGGCCCGGGTCTGATCCAGAGGGCAGGGATCTGGGCGGGATACGGACCTAGACAGGCCCATTGGTCCAACATGTAGCCAGATGTAGCCTCTGGTTTAAATCCAGATCATTCCCCCACCCCACCCCCCAGCTTTAGGGGAGTTACATCTGGCCCTGGGTTCCATTCCCAGCTGGGGGGGGGGACGGACGGACGGAGACGGTGTTCCTCCTGAGCTGGGTAACTGGGGACGCAGCAGGGCATATCCCTGCCCCCCAGCCCCTGCCTGTGGCCTCTGACGGCTCCCCACCTGCTGATGCAGTTGCTGCTCCTCGATATAGCGGGAATTGGCTGACACCAGCTCCTCCCGCAACTGGCCGTACCGCTCCGGGGGGGGGCTTCTGGCTGGCCCCCCCGCCAATCAGCATCTGCGGGGAGAGAGCAGAGCCCTGGTTGGGGACGCATCCAGGCAGCTGACCACTGGGGGTAGCAAGTAACTCGAGGTGAGGGGGGTGATGGGGCCTGGCTGGCTCGGGGGGGGGGGGGGGGGGAATGGGACATGGGGCCCTTCCCTTCTAGGGGGCACCGGCTCCGATCTGGAGGATGGCCACGCAAACTCCGTGCTATCTGCCTCCTCCCCCTGCTGTCAGCCCATCCCCTACACAGCAAGACCCTCATTACCAGAGGGGCGGGGGCCAAACGCACCATGGGGACCAGCCCCCCCCCGCCCCGAGGGAGAGATCAGGCACCTTGCAGAGTGCCCAGGAAGTGTCCCTGGATGGAGGATCCCAGCTGCCAGGGGCTGCCACTCCAGTCTCCCCCATCAGCGGCTGCGGGACAGAGAGGACAGCGTACCAGGGCATGGGATGGGCTATAGGGCTTTCTACGGGGCCTGGGCGGTGCTGCGGGCTGGTGCTCCCCGCCCCCGCGAGCTCTCCCATTGCTGCTCAGGGAGGACAGGACCAGGTACCTCTCTGTTTTTCCGCTCGGCGAAGGCCAGGGCTGACGGGCTGGATATGTGATCCCGCATCTCCTGCGATGAAGGGAAGGGGTTAAAAACGAGATTGGTCTGAAGGCAGAGGGGTTTGTTGCGGGGAGAGAGGGGGGCTTGGGAGAGCAGCAGCCCGGGGCACTTCTGTGGGGGTCCCCCTCTCCGTCGGCTTCACAGACAGAAATGGGAGCACGGGGAAGGGAAGGGACTTCCCCATGGTCAACCAGAAAGGCCATGAACAGAACCCCAGGTGACCTGGACTTCCCCTGCCTTAACCACTAGACCCTACTCCCCTCCCAGAGCTGGGGATAGAACCCAGGAGTCCTGGCTCCCAGCCCCTTGCTCATTCCAATACACACACAGAGTTTCAAAACAACTTGCTGGAAACCATGATCCCTGACTCAGTTTCTCCTCCTCCCTGAGCTAGTGGGGTCCCTCTAGTGCACTAGCTGTTGTGCCCCACTAGAGGGCAGCAGAACCCCACACACTCAGAGGGGGTCTGAGTTCCCAGATTCCTCCAGTAGGGGGCGGCCCTGTGCCTCAGACAGAGACACACACAGGACACGGGATCCTGATGCATTGGGGGCAGGGGTTCCCCACCTTGACAGAGTCCCGCATCTGCCTCACGAAGGCCCGTCTCTCCATCAGCTCGCTGGCTTCGATCCTGAACTTGCGAGGGTTCGCCTCCACAATGCGTGCGCCCGAGCTAAGGACCCAATGCGCAGGGCACAGACAGAGTCCGGGCGCAGGAGTGGGGAGCACAGGAGGGGGGAGAGTGGGTGGGGTGGACGAGGCCCCAGTCAGCCCATAGACATCAAACAGCTCTCTGGATTTCCCTTCATTCCCATGGACTCTCCCAGCAGGGGGCGCCGTGGG